TCGAAGGCAGTAGCAACTGCAGACCCAGCTGTCAAGGAGCCGTTCTTGCAGGGAGAGGTTTCTTCCTGCTCGCCAGCGCCTTTGGGGGGCCCAAGGTAAACGATTTCTGAAAAACGGCACCTGCATATCGGCGCAGCACTACTTATCCTGTAAAATCACTGTAACTCAAGCTTGCCCCCAAAGATGCGGTCCTCGTCGTCCTCGTCGTTCTCGTCGTCCTCGTCGTCGTCGTCGTAGTCGTAGACCGCCAAAACCTGGTGATAGTGTTGGGGTTCACCTGAACCCTAGAACCTGGCGTTCGGGTTAACCTGAACCTTCAACGTCAGGACCCCTGATGAGGGCTGGGTTCATCCAAACCCTGACCCTGGGTTCAAGTAGTTTGATTCGAACCCGAACCTGATGTCGGGGTTCGGCTTCGTCCCAATCCCAACCTGCGGTTCGCGTTTTGGCTTTGTGCAAGACTCCCACATTATGGTGGGAGAGGGTGTTGAGCATGGGTTGCACGTGGGAGGATAGAGACACCCATGGTGCAAACGCCCGCGTGTGTCGGCATGTCGCTTCCCTAGGTGCTGTTCTTGGCATTTTACGCAATGTTCATCACGCGTGGCATGCCGCCAGCAGATAAAGTACGCATTTGTTTTTCTGCCACTGCCACATGCAAGGCATGCCAAGGTGTAATAGAGGAGGAGGAGGAGGAGGACGACGACGACGTCGAAGACGACGACGAGGACGACGACGACGCGGAGGACAACGACGAGGACGACAACGAGGACGAGATACGACGATGACGAAGGCGACGAGATACGACGACGACGACGACGACGACGACGACGACGACGACGACGACGACGAGGACGAGGACGAGGACGACGACGAGGAGGACGACGAGGACGAGGAGGACGAGGAGGACGAGGAGGACGAGGAGGACGAGGAGGACGACGAGGAGGACGAGGAGGAGGACGAGGAGGAGGACGAGGAGGAAGACGAGGACGAGGACGAGGACGAGGACGAGGACGAGGACGAGGAGGAGGAGGAGGAGGAGGGAACGAGGAGGAGGGAACGAGGCGGAGGACGAGGAGGAGGACGAGGTGGAGGACGAGGCGGAGGACGAGGCGGAGGACGAGGACGAGGACGAGGACGAGGACGAGGACGAGGACGAGGACGAGGACGAGGACGAGGACGAGGACGAGGACGAGGACGAGGACGAGCACGAGCACGAGCACGAGCACGACGACGAGGACGAAAACAAAAACGAGGACGAGGACGAGGACGAGGACGACCGAGACACGACGATGGCGAAGACGACGAGACACGAGGACGACGAGGACGACGACGACGACGACGACGACGACGACGACGACGACGACGACGAGGACGAGGACGAGGACGAGGACGAGGACGAGGACCAGGACGAGGACGAGGACGAGAGGAGGAGGACGAGGAGGACGACGACGAGGAGGACGAGGAGGAGGACGAGGTGGAGGACGAGGACGAGGACGAGGACGAGGACGAGCACGAGGACGAGGACGAGGACGAGGACGAGGACGAGGACGAGGACGAGGACGAGGGCGAGGAGTACACCCACGAGGATGACGACGACGATGACGACAACGACGACGACGACTGCTACGACGACGACTGCTTTTACTACAGTAGTACTAGTACTAGTACTAGTACTAGTACTAGTGCTCCAGAACTAAGTCCATTATGGGCTTTCTTTCTGCGATTCTTGGTAGCTTTCTTTTTCACCTAGTTGGTCGGTTTGTATCCAGCTTACATGGGTGCAAAGCCTTTGGTTTGGTGCTTTTCTCGGATTTTTAGGCCAAGTGGGAGATTTAGGGGAATCACTCCTCAAAAAGGATGCAGATGTTAAAGATAGTAACCGCCTTCCTGGACTTGGATGATTGAATCCAGTTTTTGGAGGTTTTTTTTCTTCTTTGAAGCTTCACCTTCTCCTTTAGAAGCTGCTTGTCGACACTTCAAGTCCAAGCTGGTCCGCTGGCTCTCCAGTGCCTGCGTCTGCTGCGTGCCCGTACTTTCAGCATCACCAATGAAGGCCACGCATTGAGTCCCGTTTGGAGCTTGTTTGCACCTTCCTTCGGAATGTGTGTTTCTTGAAGACATGCAACATCCCAACAGGCAGTGGTTAACCACTGCCGGACCTCAGAGCGGTAGCTGGTTACATTGGCCTGCAGGATTGTGAAAAAAAGCTCCTTGGCACTTTGCCTTGGAACATTGTGCTTTGATGTCCTCAATGGCACCTAAGATGCCAACGGTGTCGTCTTCTTCCGCCTCCAAGCACTCTAGAATGCGGTTGCCGACCCAATGTCCTAGAGTGTCAGGCTCCAGGTCTTGTTCGTGTCGTTCAATCCATTCCAGGAGCCTCTCTTCCTCAGCCTTGATATTATACTCTGGTTCTTGCACCAGTGTATCTTGCAAGGCATGCCAATCCTTCCTGGAGATCCCAGGGTGAGTTGGTGGGGGCTTTCATCATCTGGTTCTGTGCAACACCAGTGTCCGCTAAGAGCAAGCTCGAGGCACCAGATGAGGCTCAGAGAACGTCTGCCAAATTGCGGTCAGCTGTGGTCTACTTTTGTGCTGCAGACATGTGCAGATACCAGGCACAACTGGTGGGTTGGTAACGATCACCAAGAACCACCAGCATACCAGATACCTGTGCAAGGACCTGGTGGAGGGCAAAGGTTTTGTCCTTGTTGGCTACAGGTTTCAAGGACGGCAGATGGCAGTCGGCAATGTCTACCTGGCTTCGGGCATTGGTCCCAGTGCTGGGATCGATGCAGACATACTGGCCAGGTTGCTGGTTGCTATTAAGGATCTCAGAGTGCCTTGATGCACAGGATTGGAATTGCACGCAGGAGGAGATGCAAACGACCAGTTCCCACAGGCGGTCAAAGGGCATCTAGTGGGGCCGATGGAGGCAACAACCAGTCAAGGGTCGTCCATTGACTATGGCATTGTGCGCAGCGAGCTCCAAATGACCATCAAGGCGCACACTTTGCGGGAAGTGCCATTCAAACCACATGCAGCTGTGGTGTACACGGTGGACCGCTCTGCAGCCACGATGCCGGTCCCACACATCACATCTTTCCCCCAGGAGCCAGGGGAATCACCGGAGGACCAATGGCGACATGGCACTGTCTGCCAGGTCCAAGCCATGTTTGAGCCGCCCTTACTCTCGGAAGCAACCTTGACATGGGGCAACTTCAACCAGGTCCGAATGGAACCAAGGCACGCAGGGGCAGGGCCGCGCTTGGAACTTCCCCGTCAAAGTCTCCCCTCTGGTTGAATCTATCAGCCCCACGAACCCGTGGCAAGGTGGACGACTCGCCTACTGGGAGAGGATTGGATTCTGGATCAAGCAATTGAAGGACAGGCCCCTCAAGTCTTCCCAACGAAAGCTCTTTTGCAAGCACCTCCAACGGCTGGAGGAGATGACAACGGACTTAGAGGGCATCGATGTCGACAAACTCACAGGGGCACTCTGGAGCACCTACGCATCCAACCAGTGCCGGGATGAGGTCCTTCAGAATGTCCTTGGACTGGTGAAGAAGCATGCCAAGGACTGGCAGCAAGCCCGAAAAGAGCAGTACCAAAATTGGCTGCTCGAAGCCTGTGAAGGGGGCACGCGAGGTCTGTATCGGGCCCTAAAGTGCCCGGAAGATGTGCGCTGTCGACCTTACAGGGATGTCAGTGCTGAAATACGGCCACATGTGCGAGGGGCGGTCTGGTGTCGCACCTGGAAGCCATTGCCAGGTAACCAGAAGCCTCAGCCTTCAAATTCTGGCAGGACAGAATTGAGCAGCACAAAGAGCCCTGGCATATCGCAGTTGGGCCGATCGGAGCTTTGCTGCGAGCGCTCTCCCTGACTGAATGGCAAATTGAGTGGAGGATTCTCTCTATACTGGATCGGGCCCAGTTCCACGCCATCACGTTTCATCTGACTGTTGACCTCATGCGGCAGAAAGCTTTGGCCCAGAGCGAGAAAGGACAGCAGTATTCACAGGGCATAGATTGGGCGGCACCCAAACGAGCCCTCAAAAAGCTGAAAGGTTTAGAGGCAAGATGAAAACTTTTGTAAAGCCACAAAGCGCCTGCAGTCGAAACTCGGTTGAAACAACTGTACACTAACAAAACGTGTTTGACTATGTTCAAGACACATGGCTTACGATAGCGGAAAGGTTTGTCACCCCGCCTTGAGTTCTGGCTCTGCCATCAACTCACTCACCTACAAACTCCCAACTTTCAGCACTGCTGGCTGATAGTCGAAAATGTTATCTCAAAGGAACAGTAGGTTTCAAAGCGGTAAACGAAAAGAAACTTGTCAAAAACATGCACTGCACAATCTGAAGAAACTAATTTACATCTGCCACTCAATGGAGCTTGATGCACGTAAGGCCGTGTGCATCGTAAGAGCTCCCATTGTGAAACTCACATCTTGTCCCTTGTCTCACAGCCTTGATGCACGTAAAGCTTTGTGCATCGCAAGAGGCCAATATATGCACCAGTAGCTCATGATGCACATGTTCCATTCAAGATCGCAAGCAAACCATGGACCATCATCATTGCACGGACCACAGCTGGCTCACCACAGACTGTTCACAGTCTGTATCGAATTTGCGTAGGCTCTCCACAGCCTTTCACACCAACTTCATTGCCAATCAATCGCCATCACGATGAGCGCAGTCTCTGCACTTCCGGAACGTTGTAACTCTTCTTCGGCTCACATGCTCACAGTGACGACTTGTGTGATACACATGACCCTGGCCTGTCATTACGATCTCGCCCCGTGTCGGATTTTGCACTTGCTGAAGTTCTTGCACTCGTGCAAACAAATGTGCCTCTGACTCCTGAAGCCGAGTGTTCCACTCTCGTAGCCCTCTACATTCGGCTCCAAGCTGATTCGAAAGCTCTCGAAGTCTCTCAATCTCGCTTGCTCTCTCTCTCATGATGTTCTCGGTGTGGTACTTGTAGAGAAAATGTCACTCGTCTGTCTGGGTTTCAGCATCATATCCCATGTTTGCTGCTGGTCGCTCATCTGTCTGCTCAGGCTCGCTCACCCTTACGCATCTCAGCCACAACGCACCTAAGCCCACGCAAACCATCACCACCAAAACTGTCATGACAAGTCGCCCGATACCTGTTGTCGAAGTCATCGAGATACACACCATTTCCTCGCTCAACTCGCTTGCCATCCCACTCGAAGTGAGCGAAGCAATCACCAAGCCACGAATGGCCTGCTTTGCTCTGCCATTCATCTTCCCAGGCTCAAGGCGCTTCACTTGCTGAATTGCAATCTGCATTGTTCGCTTTTCTAGATACAGGTTGTACTCTGTCTCTCCAATTCTCTCATGTGTGTACGCATCAACGACCTTCATGAGGTACATCAGGAAGCGCACACGACTTCTTGTTAAAAGCTTTGTGGACACATCAGCAGGATTGAGCTCACCTCTCAAATGCGAAACTTTAACTCGCCCGTTCATCACATGTTGTTGTACCCACAATACACGACATGAAAGGTGACGGATTCTACCAACACCAGATCTCATCCACACTTGTCGGCCTGCAGAGCTATCCATATGCAACTCAATCGGCAACGCTTCAACCTCAATCTCCAACATGGTGCACAGGACAACTTGCAGCAACATGCAGTCTGCTAAAACGCCTGCACTCGCATATAGCTCGGCTTCTGCACTCGAAAGTGCAATCGTTCTTTGGGACCTGCACGACGTATAAATAACGTTTCCTTGCAAAGCCACAACCCCAGAGCTCACACTTTTCCGATCTCCCTTCTGGGAGGCCCAATCACTGTCAGAGAAGGCTTCCAGAACCCACTCGCGATCATACTCGCGGCCTAACAGACCACCTTTCTCAGGCGTCATGAGCAATCCCTGGTTTGTAGTCGCTCCAAGATACTGCACCAAATGTCGCAACATTCGAAAATCTCGCATGCTCGGACTGCTCATTCTTTGCGAAAGGAAACGGACACTGTTCTGGGCTTCGATTAAGTCAGCTGACATGTAAAGCAGAATGCCTATGCATGTACGAAATACTGAAGCTTTCTGCACGTCCAAAGCTGAACTCACATCGATTTCGGTATATCCTGGCAGCAGAGGGCACTTCTTGTTGCAAATGTGAGGTTCCAGATCCATAAGCTCCATAAGCCTTTCAACGTGTTTAGGATGTGGGGTAATGGTCAAGGTGTTTCCCTCACCCAACACATGCAACCTCTTCAAAAATGTCATAGCGTCTCCGGGCTTCTCCAAAAGCTGACATGAAACCTTGAAGTGCTTCTCCATGGCGGGCTTAAAATCTTGCTTCACAGCTGCTCGCTTCCCCAAGAACTCAATGTCATCCACATGTGTTTGCAAGAAAACTGCACCATGAGGGGTGTTGCAGCGAAAAGCACTCGGATACGCAGCGCAAGCTGTAGCATTCACATCGGTTTCTAGGCATTGGCTCAGCTTCCGACGCCACTTCGCTGTCCCATCACGCTGTCCTGGCAGAAGTCTTCCCAGAAGAAATTTCCTTGCTCTCCCATCAGGGTCCTGATAGCTCACTTCAGTTGCCACCTCCTGCTCAACCATGAGGAGTGCGTCTGACACATCCATCGATCCCAGCACCCAGTCTCCATCCCGGGCCTGCAAGTACGTGTAAAGCGAAGGTAAAACGCATGACCTTGGTCACAGGATCAGGCATTGTTTTCTCCCGCCACGTTCGCACCATCTTGGTGCTGAGCTGCTTGGGGTTTTCACGACCAACCAGTGGTCCCTCTTTCGAATCTGGCGGCAGTAGCACCTTCATATCTGTCAACCGCTTGAGTTCGTACTCATCAGCCAATCTGTCCAACGCAGCATGTTCAGTGTCTCGCGGAAACACCAGCTGCGCCTCGACGTTCTCCCAGTCGATTTCTTCACGTCGCTCTGCCTCGATTAAATGATCATACTCTTCCAGGTCATCGAGCTCTTCGGGAGACAAGGTCCACTCCATGGCCTCATCTTCATGTTCATACTTGTTGTCGTTGATCTGGCACACACAAGCAAACTCCAGTCGATTGACTTCATGTCTCACCTTCAGTGCCTTGGGGCTTCTAGGATTTTCACTCAACCCAGTAGCCACATCACAAGCTGCCTGTTCTGCTGTTCTCGTCCTTGAAGCCATGGCCTCATCTGGCACAAGCTCACTGGACGACCCAGTACTCGGCAGTGACATCGACGAATTGCTGGTTTCACTCCTGCTGTGAATCATAGGCATCTCTGTGGTCCCCGCCTCGGCCGGCATCTCAGGCTCCTCAACATCGCTGGTCCTTCTGCTTTCGCCTGAGCTGCTGACCCGTTCTGATTCGTCGCCAGCTCCAAGCAATGCAGGACTAGGTGCAGGATTCGGAGTCGGGGCTGCCACTTGAGGTGCCACAATCCGCTTGTTCACCACCAGCTTGCCACCCAAACTAGCAAAGCCATGTTCCCAAGGAGCCAAAGTCACCTAGCGCTCAAGACTCCAACGGTCCTGCTCCACCAATCGTCGCACCGATCTCGTCAAGAACAAACCCTGGTCTGTTGCGATGATGTGTGTATCATTCTGGGTTGTTTTCCCAAGCCATACTCCTTTACACCATCTCGCCCCAGCCTTGGCACTTGTGCGAAGGTATCCAAGCACTACCTCTCCATAACAACAGATTCGCCCCACATACTGACTCGCAGTCACTCGCTCAAAAGCTGTCAACGAATGTTGCACTACAAATCTGTTGTGAATCCAAGCTGAATGCACCAAGCACCACATGTAGAAAGGATGCAAACTCCCGAACACCACTCGGCCTTCTGCACCACCATTGGTTTCCACTTGCGAAACCATGACACCTGCATGCGCTCTTATGCTTTTCCATGCCTGCTCTACTGCACCATTGGCCTCATGATCTTCCACCGGAGTTGTAACACTGCGAACCTTAATACCAAGTTGTCTGCATGCTCGCTCTGCACTTCGAACCACTGCCTTGATAGCCGGCTCGCCATCGGACTTGAAGCAAACCTCGCGATGTCCCAACCATGCCACAAATCTTGTCAACTCTGTCCTGAGATACGAAAGGCTTTGACCACCCTTGCTCAACGAAGGAATCACATGAACAGCCTTAGAATGCCGATCGTGAACCACCAGGACTGTCAGAAGATGTGCCTGTGTCTCCTGTCGCTTGCAGAACCCAAAGTCCACACTAACCACTGACTCTGAAGTGCGTGCATGGTTCAAATCATGATGAGCATCCTGTCTGGCCCTGTGAGCCACACAGAGTCCACACCAGCTTCTGTAGGGCTGGTGGGTGATGCAGTGAGTCGCCACCTGCTCGGGGGTCGGACTTCCCGGCTCAGTCACACCAAGAGGCTTTCTTTCTGAGTCACCAACTGCTGCAGCCACCGCCTGGTGCTCTGCCAACAAAGCATGTTCCTGGATGTGGCGTCGCAGTCGCTCTAGACATTGCTTCTTGCTCCCTCGCTTTGTCAATCCAAGAGCAACGCAACCTGCTCTCAAGGCCTGCAGTGTCGAGTTCAGGTCCAAACGGACCCCATCAATCTCAACCTCATTGTCGGCAAGTGGGACATGTCGCTGCTCTACAGGTACTTCGGCTTCATCAGGAGCTGCGGGTACTGCTTCGGCTTGCTCAGGCTCCTGACTTTCATCAACCACACAACACCTGCATGAAGACTAACACCATGCCTTGGCATTGCTTCACCGGGCTCAGCGTCAAACTCGAAACCAAGCTCTTCGGGGCTTACTTCGTGATCGTGCGCAATGGTCATCACCAGCTCGATGTTCTGAGGATTAGGCAAGCCCGCTTCATAATCGTCCAACTTGCTGATGTCCTCACAGAACTCTATCAAGTCCCAACCTTGCCCCACTCGCTTCACAAGTGTTGTTCGCCTCCACAGCAACGACTGCAGAGGAAGCAAGGTCGTGTTGATGTAGTTGGCACTGAAGCCGCACCTGGCATAAACTGCTTCACCTACTTGCACCAAAGACCCATCAGTCGGCAGATTTGCAAGCACTGATCGCAAAGTGATGGCTCGCACATGGAGTCGCTCATCAGTTCCCGTCCTGGCTTGCTCCAACATTCGGATTGAACCCTGAACTGCCAAACTGTTTCGCCTGAACTCCACGCTGAAGTTGATCATTCCATTTTCGCACCTCAAACCCAGCTTTGTAAAGACGCCCCAGACAAAGAAGTGGATTGTTGACAGGAGCAATGATGAAATTTTCTTTGAAGCACATGTCACCCAAGGTAACCTCTGCTACTCGGACCTGTGCAACAGGAAGATCATTCCCTTGTGCATCCACGAAGGTATGTCCTGAGTCGCCTGCTGGTTTGCCAATCGAGGCAAAACGAAGAGGCAATGCGCTATGGTCGGCTCCCGAGTCCAAAATCAACTCTATATCTCCACATTCTGTCCACTGTTCATCGTTGTCGCTGTAAGACATGTCGTACTGCTCTACCATGCGAACACTCCCTTTGTAACACTCATCTTGACTCGTCAAATCAAAGAACGCAAAGGCTCTGGGTGCACTCGAGGACTGCAAAACCCTTCTGATTGCTCCTGCCTGGGACGCCGAGGACTGCGAAACCGGGCTGCTTGCTGCTGCGCTTGTCTGTTGTTGCGTATTGGGCTCATCTGACTCTGTAACAGCACGAACAGCACCATCTCGCTTGGCTTGCCAACAATCCTTTTTCCAATGTCCCGGCTTCCCGCAGTACAGACAGTTCCCTTTCGGCACTTTGTCCTGGCCCTGCCCTTTAGCTTTGCCCTTGTCAGCTGAAGCTTTTCCAGAACCCGATTTGTCACCCTTGCCCTTGCCTTTGTTTGTCCTATCATCTTTGTGGCCTCCTTTTGTTCCATCGCCCTTCTTTCCTTTGTAGTCACCCTTTTGGTTGTTTTTGGTCCACCACTTACCTTTGCCCTTGGAAACCAAATCTATTTCCATAGGTTGAGGACCATTGTAGACAGCACCGACGCCAAACTCTTGCTGGATCTTCGAAGCATTGTACACATGCGACACAGTCTCAAAAGACAGCACGCGTTCTCGCACTTCTGCATAGGTTGAAGACTCAGACATGGAAAGCTGAACTTGTTGTCGCACATGTGCACCGCCTTGCCCGAGGACTTGCGAAACTCTTCGGCTAACCGATCTAGCCCTTGTATTTGTTCGAGATACGATCTATCCTTCGAAAACGAAGGAAAACTCATCAACGCTGTCATGATCCCCAGACTCCTCTGCTTGGTGTGCGGGCTATAAAGATTTACAAGCTGTCGCCAGACCTCGTAGCCATGCTGCTCACTAGTCGCCCGCAGAACTTGAAGAGCTCTGCCTTTCAAGATGCCACATAAAATCGAGTACAACTGCTTGCTTCGGACCTTAGCTTCATCAGTCCATGCACTCAAGACAGTGGCCTTCCCAAGCTTAGTGGCCTCGAGGTCCTCTAGGTCTGTACGAAACATCTCATCGCCATAATACAGCCATGCCTTGAACGCCATAGAAAAATCAGCCCACTTTGTCTGGTCATCTTCGACTGTGCCACCACCAAAGCTGTCTGGACACTTACAGACTTTGGAGGCTTCCGAGAATCCAGCTCTTCCTGTGCCCTTGCTGCTCTGCGAAGCTCTCTCGGCTGCCAGAGCCGCTTTCGAGGCACTCTCGGCTGCAGCTGTTGCTGCCCTCACGAGATGAGCAACATCTTCTGGGGTCAAGGCCATGACCTGTAACTGTCCAACAGTTCAAGCCAGCCAATCTCGCAAATCGCCCAAAATACAGCAGCTGAAATCTCGGCTCTAGACTACAAAACAAGGCTTCCAAAGCCTGGGCGAAAACCAAAGTCGTGTCTCGAAGCCCTGGGCTTTTCCCAGTGGCTCCGCTACCATGAAAACTTTTGTAAAGCCACAAAGCGCCTGCAGTCAAAACTCGGTTGAAACAACTGTACACTAACAAAACGTGTTTGACTATGTTCAAGACACATGGCTTACGATAGCGGAAAGGTTTGTCACAAGAGCATTGCAAGCATGCTGGCAGGGAGCCATTCGACATGGCAAAGGTGCTGTCTGTCAGAGATGTGGTATGGAGGCAACCCTGGGCCCTGGCCCACGTCCTGTGGGGTTGTTCCTGGTGGCAACACAATTACCACGATCCTGCGGACTTTGCGACTCTGCGCATCCGTTTCCCTGATCAGGGGCTGTGGCTCAGCCTCCCCGGTCGGGAGCTCCGACCTGCCCAGCCGCAACTTGCAATCCAGGAAACTGGAGTCTTTGCACACCCACAAGTCCACACCGAGGACATGTACTTCGCAACAGATGCCAGCCCAGGGGGCACACAAGACCCCAGGTTCAGAATTGTCCTCTGGGCTTGTTTGGCATTTAGGATAAAGAAAGGTCATATCGAAGTGTGCGGCACGGCCTTCGGACCGGTGCCTTACGAAAACACGGTGTTTCGAGGGGAGGCCAAAGCGGTCCACTACCTGGTGTCTAAAACGGAGGGTCATTTAGATTTAGACATCACCTTGGATTGCCAAGGGGTGAAGCAGAGAGCGAACAAGCTAGTCGCTGGATGGCACTCAGAAGACCTCTTCCAGGAAATCAGGTCTCACCAACATAGGCTCGAACTGCACTGGATCAACTCGCTGAAAAATTTGGTGCAGAGCAGCTTTGGAGGTGGGAGGCCAACGAAGCGGTTGATGCGCTTGTGCAAAAGGAACGTGGGAGACAAGCATGATGGAAAAGGATGCAGTGACGTGCCGAGTGAATGCCTTTTTGGCTGGAAGGGTAGCAGCCCTATTCGAACACGGCGAAGGAGAAGGCCCGCAGATTGTCTTCGAGAAAGATACGGGCAAGCCTGCTGCCCAGCCTAATGCCCCTAGAAGCAACAAGCCCGAGAAGACAATGACCAAAGCCAGGCCCAAACCTAAGGCTAAAGCCCCAGCTACTCTAAAAACCTAAAGCAAAACTTTAGGATGCAATTTTTCTACTCTGAGCCTGGCGACGGAATCTCTGATTCTGCTTCTCAACTCGAAAGGTTGATGCTGAAAATGGGGCATGTGTTGTGTACGGAAAAGTTTGTTACCCCCTTCAGCTTTCAGAGCAACTCCCGCTCTTAAAGCTGCTTCAAGCTTTTCACATGCATCGAGATGCTTTATCTCAACGCTTCGAGGAAAACAAAAGCGCACGACAAAACTCGCACTTCAGATACACTTTCTGGCCTCCAGCCAGCGGATCATCTGCTTGACCCTTGCACATGAAGAAATTTGCAAAGCAAAAGATCTAATTACCTCAGCTGAAACGCAGCTTGCACGTCTACATCAGAACATTTGACTCTCTCAAAGAGGTGCTCGTGGTACGAACTCAGAACATCTCACTCCATCTGCCAGCTGCCGGCCGCCAGACATCACGTCGTAGGGCACAAAGATGAAGTGTCTTTCAAGGTCTGCATTGCCTGCAAGGAAGCAGGCCACGATTCATAGCTTCAATGTCGGTCATGTTGACAATCAGCTTGCCATCACGCATTCCACGTCGTATCATCCCACAGTGCAACCTGTGGAACTTCTTTCCATTGTTCGCAAAGACGTACACTCTCGCAGCCACTTGAGGAACAGGAGCGGGGACAGCAGGAGGTGGTGGAACTCGTACAGGTACCTGTGCATGTGGAGCCGCACCAGGAAGTGCGTGTGGAGCTGCATCAGGTCCTCCGGGAGCACGACGATGCCCCCCTTCACCTGCTGCCAGTAGTGGTAGTACGTTCACTCTCATCCACTCTTCCAAGCGTTCGGCAACACCCGGTTCGAGCTCAAACTCTCGTGGTCGCTTTCCTTTGCCCTGGCCTTTGCCCTTTCCTTTGTCCTGATCTCCTTGATGATGCTGCCTCCAAAGGGTGTTTCGCACGGTACTCAGCAACGCACTGCGTGTAGAGCTCGGAGTGAGGAGGAACCAAGAGCTCAGCACCAGCCCTGTCAACGTCGATAGGGCGCAAAACGCCCAACTGAACCAGCTCACTGTACTTCTGAAGCTGGAGAGCCATGAGATTTCGAACACCGCTGGGGACTGTGCCATCTGGGGATCGAGTTTTCCATTCTTGCGCTGTGCTTGGACTCAATCGTGACAACTCTTCGCTTGACCACTTTTCTCTCATCATCGGACTCCAGCTCCAAGCATGCATTCTTCCCAAGTTTTCCTGCAAACGGTGTTCCGGGACATGGGGTCCCTGGTGCTCGTGGTCCTTCTTCACGCTCTTCGGGTAGCTCTTTGCGCTCAGGAGATCTCCCAAATCGCTGCGATGCTCTCTCTGCTTCGTTCCCACTTCCAAGTGGGGAGGAATCTCTCTCTGCTTCGTTTCCACTTCCAAGCGGGGAGGAATCTCCGCTGCTTCTGGGTCTCTCCATGTCACTGCTGCCAGCACAACCAGCAGCATCATCGCTGTCATCGTCATTGCCATAATCCACACTTTCCATGCGACAGCAACACCAACGCCAACTGCGCAAGCTGCTTCTGTAGTTCCTATGCAAGACAAGAGGAGTAGTCTTCTGAGTGAGTCGTTGGCTGCTGCTTTGCACTGACTGTTGATGCTCACTTTCATGGCTTTCTTGATTTCTCTCTTTGTCCACTCTGCTTCGAACTCTTTCTCCCCCAACACAACGCCATCGTGGTTTGCAACTCCCAACATGTACATGAGCAACAGCATGCGGTCCCGAGCCATCGCTTTGGTCATCAGGTCCGGTGGGCAGAAATGAGTCGAAATTGCAGAGGTGCTAAACAGGCCTTCTTGGTATTTCTGTTGCACCCACAAGTAGCAAAGGTCGATGTGTCGTGTTCTAGAAAGCCCCTCGCGCTGAATCAAACTTCGGCATGATGACGAATCCACTCTATGCAGCAGGGTTACGCTCTCATCACACAGGAACTCCATCACATTCTTGAGGAACAGCCCTTCCTGCAATGTGGCAAGTGCAGCATGTAGCTCTGATTCGCAAGAGCTTAACGCCAGCACTTTCTGCCTTCGATTGCCAACATGTAGGAGGTTGCCGTTTAGATACAGCGCCATAGCGCTGACTGACTTCCTGTCAGGCTCTCCTGCCCACGAGGCATCCGACACTGCTTCGATCAAGTGATTCCCTCCGAAAGGATTTCCATCTTTGCTGAACCCATCGTTGCTTCCAAAGCCGAGGCACCTTTCCAAGATTGTCCGCCCTGGCGAACACTCTGTCATCAGGATGCCCTGCTCGGGGTTGGTCTTCAGGTACCTTACAAGATGACACAGCAAGTGCCACTCATGGTTGGTAGGGCAGGTACACTTTGCACTGAGGATCTTGATGGCATACAAACATTCCGGACGGTCTGGCCCAATGTACAACAAGACTCCGACGCATGAACGGTACGCTGCATACATCTCCTCATTCAACGGGGTGTCATCCTTGACAGCTTCATGGGGATTTACCGGACTCGGTGTGTGTTTTGCACTCGACTTGGCAGTCCCGGAAAGCATGGACCTTCCCAGGACACCTTGAGGCCAGCCTTCTCCATGTGGGCCTTCAATTGATCCATCCTTTCTTCTTCGCAAATGACCTCCAGGTCATCTACGTGACTGGGCACGCCAGCTTTGCGAGGTTCCAAGAAGAGCGCAGGCGCCGCTGGGAACGCCTTCAAGCCGTCTGCCTCAAGAACCCCGCGTAGTTTGTCATACCAGTCCTTCGCACCGGCACGCTGGCCCGGTAGGTTGTACTTTAGTTCAAAGCACACATTGCCAAGCTGTACAAAAGTTGCTCTCCTTTGCGCAACCATGAGATATGCATCTTTCACGTCGCCAGTGAACATCCTAAGCTTGCCACCACTCGAACACACAAGTGCAGCAAATAGACGTTGGAGTGCAGAAAGCGATGCTGGAGCATATAGGTGCGTCATGCTAGGATCGAGAAAACGGAATTCCTTTGCAACTAGACGACTCCGTCTTTGCCAATGGCCATCTCGATACCGCCAATCTCGAACATGTTTACACCCAAGCTTCACCATTGTAGCCTTCTTACTCTCATCTTCCAACCTCACTAGCACTCCCATGTTCAACAAGCGATCTGTCTCAACTTGATCCATGGCTTCATCTAGTGCTTGTAGCTCTTCTGCTGTTAGATCGGGGGGTCCTGCCTCGTATTCACGGAGACCTGCCTTGTCCAAGATCTCCTCCACTCGCCAATCGACTTCATCGTTGACCTCATCGGCCCAATTGTCGCCTAAGTCTGGAACATCAGGTTCATGACCCGTGGGCATCTCTTCCTCTAACCGATTCACCATGTTCGCCAGGTCTGGGATCAATTCACTGCTGCTGCTGCTACCCATGGGCGTGTCACTTCCAGCGCTTCCACTGGATTGCATCGGGGCATCACTGCTGAGACGATCACTACCCGCAACATCCGGTGGACTTGGAGCTTCCACCTCTTCTACCAACTGGGGCATGCGAGTCGGGACGATTTTGGTTTTCTTCTTCACAGGCACTACGGACAAAGTGGCATCCCAAGGCACTCCCTTCATTGTCTTGATCGCTTCAAGGTCATACTCTTTCGCTGCTTTCCTGACGCTTCTTGCTTGATGAATGCCTTGTGAATCCGCCACCAAGTTCAAACTGCCCAAACCAAAGTTGATCTGCCTAGCCACACACAAGGTTTCCATGTTCGGCAAGTACTGGGCGTAGACAAACGAGCCAAACAAACACAACTTGCTGCTGTAGGTCCTACCGTGCACCAATTCGAACGGGGTACAACCATCACGCTGAACTCGAAATCTCGAAATCAAAGAACGCTGCATGCCTGTATGCCCACGTGGAGAGGTTCGAAGCTCAAAGTCTTGTGACCCGTACGCTGCTCGATGGTTTTCAAGAGGCAATATCCAAGTTGGCGAACGCTTTGGATGTACCTTTCTGCTCTAGCTCCATGTGCACTGCTTTCAGGCGCTGGCTGTGGGCAAGGTCCCCCCTGCCTGACTGCCTGCGAGTGAAGCCTGCGCTTAAGCAGAAGTTGCCGAAGGGTTGAGGTCGCGTAGTTGTCTGGCCTGCTTGACCAAACAGCAAAGCCTCTTCTTCAGGACTCACGTCCGGCACTGGCACCTGAGAAGAGTCCGGAGCTTGGGCGGCCATGGTCTCTGCTGGAACGTCCTCAGACACTCCGCTACCATGTGAAAAACGCAGAGCACTTTTTCACTCCACGCTTGAGCCAAAACACTAGAGGTGTTCGGCAAGTCTCTCGCAGAGTCAGCGCAGCTTCACTTTCGTGAATTCCATCTTAACTTTGTGAAACAAAGGAGGAACACATGCAAACATCGCAAGAAACACTTTTAAGCCAAGCTTCAAACATGCTATGTCCATGCCTGCTTCTGCTAACACCAAACAAACGGTTCAAGCACAGCTCTCAACTCATGCAATGCAAACTCATGGTTCATGTCACATGTGCAAGACATCCTGTCAACTGTAAAGGCACTCACAAGAAAGTCAAAAACTTTCACAAGTTTTCCTTTCCAGAACAGCATGCTGCTTACATGAAAATCTCTAGTCCAGCGTTGCGATGAAGAGTCCCCGCATGAACCCAACAATGAGCTGTTGCAAGTGAACATGGTTGTCGAAGTGAGTGAGCAGCTTGGCACGTATTTAGAAAGCCGGTTCCTTGGACCTGATGGACAACCAGTTCATTGGCATTGCAGGCAACTACGACCTAAGATGCTTCCTTGCGCTTTGATCCTTAAAGAGTGGCCCAACCGTCGCACTTTGTTGTGGGTTGAAGGTCGGAAGTTCGACATCTTCGAGTGTGGTGAGTGTTGGGCTGAGCGCAAAGAAGATCCATAGGAACTTGGCAAGGTTGTTAAGGGCATGGAAGTTTGGCGAGATTTGAGATCAAAGCGACCTCGGCTAGCAGAAGGGAGAGAGCCAGCTGAAGTCAAAGCTGAAGTGGTGCATGAAAGAGTTGAAGGACCCATGCTTGGACAGTTTCTGTAGAAGGGCCAGAACAAGAAGCCGTGGTGGTGAATGATGTCTGAGGACAATCCCTTGCAAGATCTAGAGACTGCCTACGTCTTTCTTGGGATTTAGGAGATAGCGGTTTTCGAAGCTTAAAGTGAGTGTTGAAGCATTACAACTGTCCAAGAAGAGTACGCTCGAGAACCTTTGAACCGGAGCATTGCCATCCAAGCCTCGACTGGATGTTCGCGAAAACAGAGAGCATATCGAGTGAAACTGGAGAGCGTGTTGAGGTTCCTTTGGTAACCTACATGATTGCCGTGGATTCTGCTACAAAGTTTGTCATTGCGATCTCCGAAGACAGCAAGGGGGCAAGTCCTTGAAGCATGTGGTAACTGAGTTGGTTCGAACGAGCACAATGTTACATTATCGCAAATGGCTCTGAGGTATGACACCGAGCCGGCGATGGTCCAAGTGGCGAAAGCCGTGGTTGCAACTCGACTTTGGATGGTTTGGCAACTGATCTAGAACCTGCAGCGGTGGAGGAACCGAGACTGGGTTTCAAGCCATCGTGTTGGAAATGCTACGTCAGCAGAACCAGTCTACACTTGAGCTCTTGCGTCAGCAAGGGCAGGCTACTCAACAGAACCAGCAGCTGATAGCTGCTCTCATGAGACGCATGGACTTAGAGGAGAAGCGCCGAAACGAGGCCGAAGAGAAGGCAGCGGAGACTGCTAAGTTGGTTGCTGAAGCTGCAGCTAAAGCCAAGACTGCCGACCCGTTTTCGGGACCTGGTGCCACAGCAGCGACGGGGTCGTCTTCGTCTACTTCTTTTAGTGGTGGGTCCACTCTTCAGAACCGAGCGGAGAAGTACCTACTTTGCCATTGCTGGAGCATCAAGGCATGAGCAAAGGACGCATGCGAGAAGTGGAAACCTGGCATGGCTATGTGGAGACTTTGAGCTCATGGTTGGCTTTGCAAGACGAGTCTTTCGTTCGGGAGCTTCAGCTGTGTGTGAAGGTGAAACACGAGATACTCCAGAAGGATCTCAGTGTGGAAGTTGCAGCGCGGAGCGCTAAACTGTTTTACTACCTGACCCAAGCCCTGGCAAAGTGGGAAAGGGGTCTGGAGTTGCTACGCTCTTGCTCGAAGCGACAGGCTTTGAGTGCCTGTGGGTACGAGGCCATGCGCACCATCACGCAGCAGTACAGCATAGTATCCCGCATGGAAGCCGTCTTCGTGCGTGACCAGTGTTTGAAGTTGCAGCACACGTGCCAACATATTCGGCGACCTACTGACCTCATTAGGCACCTTGAAGATGAGTTTTCTCGGTCTGAGGCGAAGCTGTCGAATTTCCCTGAACTTCTTCTGTCAGAGGCTGATCGGTGCAGTATCCTTTTGCAAGCGGTGAATACCGAGCTTCGTCAATACGTTGTTTTGCATGGGAAGAGCAACGACTGGAACTCATTGTGCAGCAGTCTGAAGTACTACGAAGAACAGCTTCGACTGTGTGAGGCTCCAGGTGGAGCGTCTCGATCCCTCAGTGACACTTTGTGTGATTACTGCGGGAAACGGGGACACCAAGCCGAGAAATGCTGGCAGAAGCAAAGGGATGAGAAGGCCCGTGGTGGTGGCAGTCCGGACAAAGGCAAGGGCGACCATGGAAAGGATCGAAAGAAGCCTAAGGACAAAGGAAAAGGGGACCGAAACCCCAAAGGTGGGGGAACTCCCAAAGGTGGAGGAACGCCGCGGGGAGGTGGAACTCCTCGGAGCGAGCACGGGGACAAGAGCCCCAAAGGACGCGGAAAGGGCAAGGAGAAGTCGAAGAAGAAGAAAGGAAAAGGGAAAGGCCGTTACTTGGGTGAGCCCGAATCGGAAGCAGACTCTGGGGAAGCCACCTTGATGGCTTTGGGTTTTTCTGGAGTGCGGGAAGCTTCGGCCGAACCTTCTCTTCCTCCTCGTGTTCTGAACGCGCCTGAAGAGGTGAAGCCGGTAGGCACCGTAGTTGGAGATTCAATGGGGGCCTTAGGCTCGAAGTTTTCTCAAAGAGGAAACCTCTCTCAGATGTGCTCGCACCTAGGGGTTAGCCCGAGGGATGTGTGGTTGGTTGATAGTGGGGCTACGTGCCACATAGTTTCCAACCAGTTTATCTCAGGATTTCGTGTGGTGAAGACACACGACAAAGCAGCCAGTCTGTTCAACGCCTCTGGAGGTTCGATCGACGTTTCGTCTGTGGTCGATATCGAAGTCTACTTCGGTGATGTTCTTCTGAGACTCGGGGAGGTGTTGGTGGCTGATGTCGGGTTTAACGTCCTCTCTCCATGGTGTGGGGCGGAATTGGGTTGGAAGACCTATCTGTCCAAAACGGGGTCCCGAATGTACAAAGGGAACAAGAAGAGTATCAAGTTGGTTGGTCACAATCGGGCCTGGTGGGCGTTTAGCGGGGGGAAGAAGTCTAAAGCCTCCTCCAAGAAAGGGGCGGAAGGGCCTAAAGACATGGAACTTGATTCACTGAAGGACGCTGCTGTGCCAGGATCTGAGGTTCCTATCCCCTCAGGACAGCGGACCGCTCCCAGGAGCATCTTGAAGAAAGGAGGAAAGAGCCTGCATAAAGTCGATGAGCTCGATGATGAGCAGTGTGGCCGACACGCTTTGTCTTCAACTCCGTTTTCGTTTCTCCTTCGAGGGTTTAGGTCTGAGATCTTCAATCCCGAAAGTCCTCTGGGAAAGACCAAAGTTCCCTCAAGTTGTCCCGAAAGTCCTCAAGAAGAGCTTGTTTTCGACAAAGATCTTAGGAAACAGCATGACATGTGTGGCTTGAATTTGATTAGGAAGCAGCATGACATGTTTGGCTTGAGCTTGCGCTTGATTTTTGAGCTTGGATTGAATTGCTTGAGCATGTTGCTTTGGAACCTTGAGAACATACGTGCTCTGGAGCTTGCTTTGCGTGGGTGCGTCATGTTTTTCATGGGGTGTTTTTCGCTTATGCAAGGGATTGGAGCGCCTTTCGGAGGTGCACGAAGGAACAGATCCGGAGCTCTGAGTGTTTTGGTTCTAGTAGCCTTTTGCTTTTGTTGCTCGGAGAGCAGCAATCCGCTCCATGATGGGTGGCTCCCAAACCTCTGGGCCTGCGATAGAGGACCCAGTTGGTGGAGAGGCGAGTGTTTCGCCCATGGTGGGCCCGTCGCTGGAGGAGGCAACGGTCCAGGAGCCAATGGCGACGGTCCAGGAGCCTTCGCCTACCGACTCCGAGAATTGGGGGCATTGGCGCCCCATTGCGGCGGACCCCGTGGATATTGGAGATTCCGATGTGCCGAGGATTACTCCGGTGGACACCACGCAGCCACCATCCATTCCGGGACAACGCCTGACGGCCTTGCATCATGCTTTGCTTTTCGATATGAGGAGGAGGATTGCCGAGGCTGCCGAGCTTGGGGTCCATTTGTACCCCGGGCCTGGGGAACCAATGCCCCAGCTTTCCCATTATTATGGGCCCCCAGCAGACCCGAGTGCCATTTACGATTCCCTCGCCATGGCCGGGACCATAGGCGAGGCCTATGTGGCGCAGCATCTGGGGTCTCCGGCGATTACTCGCCAGATCTTTGGTGGGTCTGCGACTTTGGTTCGTCCCAGCGAATATGCAGCCCCGACTCCGTGGCACTCGGTGCTTCCGCGGTTTCCGGAAGGTCCACATCCACCACAGGTACTTCCCGAACCTGTACAAGAAGAAGGTCGCCGTCCCAAAAGATTTCGGGAGGTGGCCACCTCCACTGTGGATCAAGACTTCTCCAAGGCAAAGGCCTCTTCGAATGGGGGCTAAGGCCCCACGACGTCCTGTCAGCCATGGACAGGCTGGGCG